TGTTTTATTTAATTTTTTCTTATTTTTTTTCATTTTGTAAAGGAAAAGTTTTCGAGGGGGTAATCTTTTTTCTTTTCTTTTTTTTTTTTTTTAATTTTGAACGATTTGAAAATTAAAATTGTTCGATTTGTTTTTTTTTTTTTTTGGGGGGGGGGGCGAATCGTGTGACGTAACGAAGTGGTTCAATGATTTTCTAGGATGAATTTTTTTCTTCTTTTTGTTCGTTGCTTCTCTTGCATCTCAATCTTGCAATCAATATCGATTAACTTATTTTTTTTTTTTTTTTTTTTTTAAGAAAAAGTAATTTTAAAAGATTGGAAGAATGTAGTAGTAAAGTCAAAAAAGGCTCGAGGGAAATATAGGGAAAAGTTTTTCTTTTTTGAGGGGCCAACCAAACCTTTTGATGCTTCTCACGGATTTAATTTAATATCGGTGTATATATATATATATAAAATTTCCCTTACCACCACGTGATGAATTTTTGTGTCATCGCGTCACGCTTTTCCTTACTTCCCTCACCTCCTCGCCGCCATCTTTTTTTTTTTTTTTTTTTTTTTGGTAGTTTGATTTAGCTTTACTAATGTTGGCGATAGCGTTCGTGTTGTTGGGGGGGGTGTTTGTATTGGTGGTACCTATCAAATGAGTTTTCGTCGATGGTTTCCAATCGAGAAAGGATTCAGACGACATTTTTTTTTTTTGTTTATTTGTAAAAGTGTAGGACGAGTCATAAAACCTAGACTAGGGGGTAGGTAGGCATTAGTCTCGGAATCGATTAAGGTTTTCGTTATTTTTATGTGACGACTTTATCCTAACGTACGACGACGTATCCATTTATACGTTTTTATGTGTTTACCACGACGGTTTCCGGTTTTTCCGTTTTTATAAAACCCTCCAAAAAAAAAAAAAAAAAAAAAAACTTTCATGTATGTAAACAACGTTTAAAGCTTTTATTATTATTATTATTATTTTTCAAGTCTCTGAAAGTTTTTGTCAAGTTCAAATTCAATTTATTTGTCATTTTTTAAGGTTTTTAAGTCGGTTGACGACGACGGGAAAAAAAATCATCCTCTCCCTCCTCCCTCCTCCTCTTTCTTCATCTCCTTCTCCTTCTCCTTCTACTCCTCAAGTTAAAAAAGGTTAAACGAAAAAAAATTTTTTTTTTTTTTTTGCTTCTTCTTTCTCTGAAGAAGTTTTTTTTTTTTTTTTAAAAAAGAAAATAAAAGCTTTCATGTGAATTTGGTGGTTATTTTAATTTTTTTTATTATTTCGTATAGTAAAATCTGGAAAAGTTTTTTTTTTTTTTACTGGAAAATAATCGGAATTTTTTTTTTTGAAGAAAAAGAAAAAGAACCATAAAAAGAAAAACTAATATTATTATTATTTTGCGGAAAATTCGTTTGTGCTCCTTTTTTTTCCAGAAAAAATAAGTCAAGACGAGCTGAATGAATGGACGTTAAAATCTCACTTGAATATATTTTTAATCGGAATCGTTTCCTCTCTCTCTCTGTCTATCTATCTTTCTCTCACTCTATCTCTCTCTTCCTCTTCCTCTTTTTCTTTCTCTCTTTTGTCTTTTTCAAAAATTATTATTTTTTTTTTTTGTTTAAACTTTTTTAATTTGAAATTTTTTCCCCCCTTGTTTCTCATTAACTCTCTCTTTCTCTTTCTCTCTCTATTTCTCTCTCCCTTCTAAATTTTTTTTTTACATTTTGGTACCCCTGACGGACGCCATTTTTAAAATTCAAACCTTTATTCCCTTTTTTTTTTTTTTTTTATAAGAAAAAAAAAAAAAGAACGATTCGTCAATAAAAACTCCACCCAAACATTGGCCCAATTTATTTTTTTTATTTTTGCTTTATTGGGTTTTTTTTTTTTTTTTGCTTTTTTCTATTTTTTTTCTTCGTTTCCCCTCCCCCCTTCTCCACCTCCCTCTCCCACCCCCTTCCCGCTCCCTTCCTCCCCATTTCGTGGTGTGATCCCCGTTTATTGTAAAAAAAAAAAAAAAAAAAAACGTTACAATTATTTTATAAATCATTATTAATATTTTTTTTGTGACGTAATTGTTTGTTTTTTAAAATTTGTTTGGATTTTGTTCGATTTGTTGGTTGTTGTTGGAATGTTTTTACCCGCGACTTTGGAAAATAAATAAAATAAATAAAATTATTACGTAAAACAAACAAACAAACGCAAACTGGAAAAGTATTGAATAAGGCATTAGTTACATTGAATATAAAAAAAAAAAAAAAATGTTGAACATGGAGAAAACTGATATTGATATTCACTTACGATGTTTGCATATTTTTTTTCTTCTCTATCCCCCCCACCCCAACCTCTCTCTCTCTCTTTAAAAAAAAAAGGAAAAACTTTTTCGGATTAAAAAAATAATAATAATAATAATATAAATTTACCCGAAAGCATTTTTATATTTAAATTTTTTTTTTTTTTTTTTTCCGATATTATCGGTAAAACCATTTCGATATAACTACTTTTATTATAGACGTATATATACGTACATGTTGTTATTATTATTATTATCATCATCATCATCATCATCAAAGTTACCATCTTTGTCGTGATCATCATCATTATTTTGATCCGTTTGAGATGATGAGAAAATAAAAAAAAAAAAAAAAAAGAAAATTTTCCTTTTTCTTTGTTCCGGATCGTAGGGATAAAGGGGAGGAGAAAGAGGGGAAAAGGGGGAAAAGGAGAGATGGGGGGTAGGTTGGGGGGGAAAAACAACCTGATAAATTTTTTATTTATTAACTTGTGAATCAGTCTGACCACGTTTCTAGTCTCAGGGAAATGAAAAAGAAAATTTTATGTATATATAAATATAAATTTGAAATTTTCCGTGTGAAATAAAATTCTGGACAAAAAAGAAACGGGAAGAGAGATAGAGAGTGATAAAGAAGAAGAAACGGGAAGAGAGGAAAGCGATAAAGAAGAAGAAACGGAAAGAGAGGAGAATGATAAGGAAGAAGAAACGGGAGGAGAGGAGAGTGATAAAGAAGGAGAAACGGAAAGAGAGGAGAGGGATAAAGAAGGAGAAACGGAAAGAGAGGAGAGGGATAAAGAAGAAGAAACGTGGGGAAGAGAGAAGAGGGATAAAGAAGGAGAAACGGAAAGAGGGGAGAGTGATAAAGGAAGAAACGGGGAGAGAGGAGAGGGATAAAGAAGAAAAAACGTGGGAAAGAGAAAAGAGTGATAAAGAAGAAGAAACGTGGGGAAGAGAGGAGAGGGATAAACGGGAAGAAGGGGGAGGGATTCGATGAAGGAACGTGTGTGAAATCATCATTCCCGTCATTCATTATCATTATTAAAATTTTCCGTTGGCGTTTGTCAGTTAAACGAAAGTTTTTTTTTTTTTTCTGGGGGGTGGAAGGGGAGGGAAATTGTTTTGCTATTGAAAAAGAAAAAGGAAAAAGTTACAAAAACGAGCCTAAATTTAAAATTTTTGAAAGTTTGTGAATGATCGCAGAGAGGAGGGGAGGGGAGTGAGGGGCAAAATCAAAAGGGTTTGTTTAAACGAGTATTCAAAAAAAATTTTTGTTTTAAAAACTAGAAAATGTGAAAAAGGGGTTTTGTTTTTGTTTTTGGCGTTTATTCTGTCTTTCTTTTCCATCATGTTCTTATGTATTCATTTGTTTTTTTTTTTTTTTTTCTCTCTTGTCAAACCTTTTTCTTCTTCTTATCCCTCCACATCCTCTTCCTTCTCATTTTCCTACCTTTTTTCCCTTCCTTTCTTTTTTTCTAGCATTTTTTTGTTGATGTGTTTTTGATTCATTGAGTCTTTATAATCCGATATTAATTTTAACGATTTTTAAATTTTCGATTTTTCCCGCCATTTTTTTTTTTTTAAACCGACGACGAAAAGAAAATAAGAAAAAAGAAAACAAATCTTATTGAAATTCTGATTTTTTTTTCTTCTTTTTTTTCTTATCTTATTTTTTCGTGTGAGTAAAATTTCAATCGGTTTTTATATATGATGTTAGAATTAATAAATAAAATGAAAAAGTCCTAAAACAAAAACAGGAGAGAAAAAAGGAAGAAAAAGGGAAGAAGAAGAATAAAAAAAAAAAGAAAACTTCTCATCGTTTTATTTTAGTAAAAGTTACCGATTCGAAAAAAAGTTTTCTGATTATCAAAAAAAAAAAGAAAATAAAAAGTTTTTCACGTTGAAAATTGTGAGCCACCACGAACGTGTATCGTGAAAAAAAAAAAAAAAAAAAATTCTGACAAAGGAAATAATAATAATAATGATAATAATAATATAAATCCGAAAGGACGTGGAACGTGCGAGTGCGTGAGTGCGTGCGTACGTGCGTGCGAGTAAAAAGTGAGGACAAAACAAAAACAACAACAACAAAATTATTCCCCCGTGAAATTGCGGCGTAACACACACCCCCTCCCCCCTCTTCGAAAGATTTATCCCGAAAAAAAAATAAATAAATAAAATAAAGAACAAAAATTTTCCCCAACCCCCCCCCAAAAAAAAACTCGAAACTACTTTTTCCTCCCCCCCTTTTTTATTTTTTAACTCGATGAAAAATAATAATATTAAATTTTAAATTTAATTTTTGTCCCCCCCCATTTCTCTCACTCTCTCTCTCTCTCTCTCTTTCTAACTCGCTTTCTCACTCTCTCGCTGTCTCTTTCACTCTCTCAATAATCTTATTAATGAGATTTCGCGCCAAAAATTTTTAAATAAAAACTTTGTTTTTTATTAATGAGATTTGTTCTCACAATTTTCTTTACCCCTTCCCATTTTCCTTCCTTCCTCCAATTTCCTTCTCTCTTCCTTCACCCTTCTTCCCCCCAGTTTTATTATTTAAAAATATTAAAAAAAAAAAAAAATTATTTAATTACGTAATAACGACGACGACGACGGTTATGATGATGATGATAATAATAAGTATTATTATTATTATTAATATAAATTAAATTTTATTTAAAATGGAAAATCAATTAATATTATTATTATTATAAAATTTAATTTGATGATTTTTTGCAAACGGGAAACGGTAACAACACGTGCGTACGCGTTCGTACCTTAAAGCGTTTTAACACGGAAAATTTACCGGAAACGACTTTTTTTTCATTTCCTATTTATTTATTTATTTATTTTGTTTCTATTTTTATTTTCAAGGTCCGGCATTTTGGGGATTGATAAATCCCGAATGGTCTCTTTGCAACAGAGGGAGACGACAGTCACCGGTCAACTTAGAACCCGATAAACTATTGTTCGATCCTAATTTGAGATCTTTACATATCGACAAACATAGGGTGAGTTTTTACATTCAACCAATCAGAAAATTGTTTTTTTCCCAATGGTCGATCCCGGGAACCAATGAGAAAAATTTATTTTGAAATGCTTTCTTTCTATTGGTCGTCGAATGTTATGACGTTACCCCCTCACAAACCCCTCCCCCTTTTACTTTCTTTTCGAGGGAAAACGAGTAACGGGTAGTACTTTTTTTTCCACGAAATTTTTTATTTATTTATTTAATTTAAAAAAAAAAAAAAAAATTCTATAAATATAAAAATCGTTTTAGTTTTTCTTTTTTTGTTTTGTTTTTTGTTTTTGTTTTTGTTTTCTTTTCTTTTCTGTTATTCTTGGAAAATTGAAAACAAATTCAAAGTAATTTTTTTTTTTTTTTAATAGATTCCTTATGTGAGGTTTTTATTTATTTATTTTTTTTCCATCTTATTTTTCATTCGCTACTACGTTCGCCATCTTTCTTTTTTTCTTCTTCTTCTTCTTCTTCTTCCCTTTCGCTTTTCCAAAAAAAAAAAAAATGCTTTAATTTTTTTTTTTATTATCTTTTCTCTTGTATTTATTTATTTATTTTTTGTTCGGATCTCGTGATGATGATGATGATAATGATAATAATGATGATCATAATAAAAACCAAAAGAAAATGAATATAAAAAAAAAAAAAAGTAACGGAATAAAATTATGAAAATCATTCGAGTAAGACGCTTGGAAAATGGGTAAAACTTTTCCCGATAATACTTTTACGTGCATGCAAGAGAGAGAGAGAGAGAGAGAGAAAGCTCATCTGGTTTTTTTCCCTCTCTTACTCCCTCATTCCCTTCCTTCCCCTTTCTTCTTACCCCCTAACTTTTTTTTTCCAATATTTTAGATTTTCCATACCTTTGGTTTCTCATAAAAAAAGGGGGAGAGGGAAAGGGGAAGAAGAAGAAGAGAAAAAGTTTCCAAAAAAAAAAAAAAAAAAAACTGGAAAAACTTTGTTCTTTTTTTTTTTTAACGTTTCCCCCCTTCCCCCTCCCGATCGTGTAAAGTTTTACCAGGCTAAATGTTTCTTAACAAAAGTTTTCTTTTTCTTTCTCTTTCTCTTTCTTTCTCTTTCTTTTTTTTTCATTCAATTTCGTTACTTTTTTTTTTTGGTCGAACTTATAAATTTGATTGTTTTAAAATAAAAAAATGAAAAGAAATTAAAAAGGATTCTTTTATTATTATTATTATTTTCTTGTAACGTCGCGCAGGTGTTTAAAAATAAAAAGAAAAGAAAAAAATTAATAATAATAATAATAAGTTATCGGAAAATTCATGACGGGAATCATTAGAAAATAATAATAATAATAATAATAATAAGGATGAAGTAAAAAGAAGAATAAAAAAATGTTTTTTTTTTTTTTTTCGAACTGAATTATTGTAATTATGGAGAGAAAAAGAAAAAAAAAAAGAAAAAGAAAATTTCCAGTCGATTCGTCTCTCTTCTTTCCAGGAATTTTTTTTTTTCTAAGAATGAAATGAATGTTCCAAAGATTACGACTGGAACCGAATTAAGCTTGGATTTTAACTTTTAATTTCCAGATTAGCGGATTCATTGCAAACACGGGTCACAGCGTTATATTCACGGTTGATAACACAACGAGAAATCACATAAACGTAACGGGAGGACCTTTGTCGTACAGGTATCAGTTTCACGAAATGCACATGCACTACGGTTTACACGACGATTCCGGAAGCGAACATTCTATTAACGATTATGCATTTCCTGCCGAGGTAAGCGTAAAGATTAATTTCTTCGTTATAAACTCTCTCTCTCTCTCTCTTTCTCTCTCTCTCTCTCTACGGTTTTGCATGTTTACCCACATTAACATTAAAAAAAATTTCCGCGAACGAGAAAAAAAAAAAGAAAAAAAAGTTTTTCAAAGGGGTTGGAAAGGGATAAGGCGGATTCGAAAAACGAGTGGTTTTAATTTTATTTTACCGACAGCACTATATCAAAAAGAACAAAAAAAAAAAAAAAAATTATGTTGGTTGTCGGTCTCACGCAAACCCTCCCTCCCTCACCACCACCACCACCGCCGCCGCTACCACCATCACCACCACACCTTAAGCTTTGAGGGTATCACCTCCTCTTGCGTTTTTTTTTTACTCCCTCTCTTTCTCTTTCTTTTTCTCTCTCCCCTTTTTTACTTTTTTCTTCTTCTTCTTCCTCCTCCTCCTCCTCCTTCTCCTCTTCCTCTTCGTATCTTCTCTTCTTTCTCTTCGTATCTTCTCTTCTTCTTTTTTTTTTTTTTATCTCCGACAAACAATTTTATTGTTCGAATAATGTTTTTAATCGCGATTATGTTTCGGATGGATTATATAATTCTTTATTATGAGAATGATAAAAACAGAGAGAGAGAGAGGGGGGCGGAGGGGAGGGGAGAGGGAAAACGAGTCAAAAAAGGAAAAGTTCTTAATCTTTTTTTTTTTTTTTTTTTTTTTTTAACGTTTCGTTAGATTTGATTTTGTAAAATGAAATGTTTGTTGTCAACGGTAGTAAATCCGAGAAGGATCTTATTAATTAATTAATTAATTTTTTTTTTTACGACGACGATGATAATAATAATAATGATGATGATGACGACGACGACGAGGTTGATAATAAACCGAAACGATATTATTATTATTATTATCATCATTCTGGAAAACTCGGTTACCCATTAATTAAATTTTCACTTTTATTTCATTCATTCATTCGTTCGTTTTTTTTTTTTAATTGTTTTTCTCGTAAAAAAAATTTTTTTTTTTTTTTTTTTTTAATTATTTATATAATAAACGTAAAAAGTAATGGAAAATGTAACGACGTGACCCCGAGGGGGGGATGGGAGTAGAGGAAGGGAGAGGAGGAGGAGAAAGAGGAGAAATCGCTTCGTCGGTTGAAAAAAAAAAAAAAAAATTTAAAAGGTAACGAACAAAGGAAAAAAAAAAAAAAATATTTAAGAATTTTATTTTATTTTTATGTTAACTTTCGGTCGCGCCTTTTTTTTTCCTTTTTTTCAAATATCAAAGGAAAATGAAAATTTTTCCATTGGGAAAAATTTGTCCGGTTTTCCATAGAGAGAGAGAGAGAGAGAGGGAAAAAAAAGTTTATTTTTTTATTTGCGTAAAAAAGGAGTGAAAAGTCTCGGTCGGTGTAATTTTTCAATTTTTTTTTCCCCCATCTCTCTCTCTCTCTCTCTTTCTCTCTCTTCCTCTTCCTCTCCCTCTCTTCCCCTATTCTGTTCTGTTTTTTTTTTTTTTTTTTTAATTAATGCTATCCCTAAAAAAAAAAAAAAATTTTCTTTTTTCACGATGTTAGTTTTTCATCATCATCATCATCATCATCATCACCGGAAAATTTTTTTTTTTTTTTTTCCTTCAAATACCTCGCAGGCAGATTTCTTAGCGTGGAAAAAAAAAAAAATGAAAACGTATAAGAGGTAGTGGGAGTGGGAGGGGAAGAGGAAGCGTGGGTGGGTGGGTAGGCAGGTATATGGAAGAAGGATCGAACGAATCCTACAATGAAACGTAATTACGTAATTTTCATCCGCGTTCGTTTCCGGTTCCGGTATTTCCCCCCCTCCTCCCAGTTTACATATATACACACTTTTCGCTTTCATTTTTTTTTTATCCTCCCCCTTCCTCCCCTTAAGGAAAATTTTAATTTAGTCCGCACTTAAAAGAAGATGGAAAGGAAATCGTGGTGGAAAATGTGGGAAGAAAAATTTTTTTTTTTTTTTTTTTCTTCCTCGACCGCTCTTTCACTTCCTTTTCATTCATTTTTCTTTTTAAAACCATTTCCTGTTTATTTTTATTTAAGGATATGATTTTCCTTTTTTTTTTTTATTTAGAAAAAAATAAATAAATAAATTATTAATTTTTATCGACGCGTAATTGTTTGTTTGTTTGTTTGTTTGTTTTAATTAAAAACGTGGAGTCAATTTTTTTTTCGTGGAATTAGAAAAAAAAAAAGATAATTTTTTTTTTTTTTTTAATTTTGTCGCACAAAAGAAGTTAATCAATGGATTGAGTTGTGTGTGATTTTTTAAATAAAATTTATTTCGATAGTCGTTGGTTAAATTTCCGTTTCCGGTTTTTTTTAAAAAATAATAATAATAATGTTTACCGGTTTTTTTTTTTTTAAATCATTATTAGTCTGGAATATAAAAAAAAGGAAAAAGGGAAAGTTTTTTTTTTTTTTTTTTTTAAAGGAATTGAGAGGAAAAAAAAAGGGAAAAATGTCGATTTGACGTCGGAAAAATGTCAAAAAAAATAAAATAAAATAAGAAAGAAAAAAAAATAAAACAAAGACGGATTGAAATAAAAAGGAAAGGAAAGGAAAGGGAAAAATAAAGGGGAGAGGAGGGGAGGAGAGGAGAGGAGAGGAGGAAAAGCGAATTATTTTTCCCTTATACTCTTTTTGCTCCCTTTACTTATTCTTCCCCTCCCTCTCTTCCCCCTCCTCCTTCGGCGGCCTCCCACGAAATCGTGTTCGTGGGTAGGATGTGAGACGACGTGTGTGCGTGTGCGTGTGCGTGTGCGAGAGAACTAAGGTAGAAAAGGATAGAAAATGACATATAAGAGAGAGAGAGAGAGAGACATTTTCACTTATTGCTCAATATATTTGAATATAAAGACTTGAGTTTAAAAAAAAAAAAACTAAATCAAATTTCACTTTTTCCAAGATTCCACTTTGGAAAATAACTTTTATAAATTTCTACTTCTTTCTTTCTTCCCCCCTTCTTCCCCTTCCCTTACCCCTCCCCTCTTCCCCTTAAAACTCCCCCGTGGTCCCCTCCGCCTCTCTCTCTTCCCGACAGATTTTTTTTTTTTCTTTTTGTAAAATTGAATATTTTATTACATTACTAAATTTTCTTTCCTTTTTCACTTTTTTTTTTTTTTTTTTTTTTTTTTTTTTACGTAACGCCTTATCCATTCTCCTTATTTCCTTTTAGTTTTTTCCATTGATTATTTGTCTTCTGCTTTATTATCATCATCATTCTTCTCCTCCACTTTCTCTTTGAATTCGTACATTCGAGTAAAATCGGTGTATTTATTTAATTAATGATATAACCAACCGGTAATAAATCGCTTTTTTTTCCCTTCTGGTCCGGAATTATCGATGATGATGCGTTTCTTGTTTCTGGTTTTTTTCCGTGTGCGTGTGCGTGTGCGTGCGTCGGTAAGAAAATTGAAAAAAAAAAAAAATGTACGGAAACTGGCAAAGTTCAATTTCCTATCCGAGAGAGAGAGAGAAAACTCGAAATTCGTTTTCATATTTATTATTATTATTATTTTATATATATATATATATATATATATATATATATATTTTTTAGTCTTCTTTTTCTTCTTCTTTTTTTTCTCTTCTCTCTTTCTTTTTTTTTTTTTTTATGCGAAAGGGTTTACGGTTTCATAGAATCAAGGGAAGAAAGGAATAGAGAGAGAGAGAGAGAGGGAAAAAAAATGGGAAAGGGATAAAGAAGTACGATGATGATGATGATGATGATGATGATGATGATGATGATGATGATGATGAGGGGACGGGAGAGAACAAAGGGAGGAATAAAAGGAATGAGGAGGAAGAGAGAGAGAGAGAGGGGGGGGAAAGGAAAAAGGAAAACATTTTTTTAAAAAAAAAAATGAAAGTTGGCAAGAAATTTCGACTCTGGTCTCTCCGATTTTTTTTTTTTTTTTTAGCTTAGCGTGGACTCTTTCAACTCTTCTTCCATCGTCTCGACCTTTAACGTCATATAAATTTTTTTTTCAGTTTCCTTTGTCACGTTTTTAACAATTTTTTTTTTTTTTTGGGAGGAAGAAGGAGGGAGAAAGGGGGTGGAGAGGGGGAAGGGGAGAGTGTGAAAAAAAAAGTGGCGGGAAGGTGTTTGTTTGTTTGAAAAAAAAAAAAAAAAAAATTCTTTCAAACAAAAACATTTTTTTACACTTATGCGAACGAGTTTGGTCGGGCACACAACAATACAAAAAAAAAAGCAAGAATTTTTTTTTTGAAAAAATATAAAAGATGCGAGAGAGAGAGGGGGGGTGGTGGTCCCTCAAGAAAATGTTTCCGGCCGGATGATTCTTTGGGGGATATTAAAGAAAGAAAGAAAATAACGTTGCATTTTTTTTTTTTTACGCTCTCTCTCTCTCTCTCTTATTCTCACTTTTATTTTTTTTTTCGTCTATTGTTCTCCTCTCTTCCTTCATCTTCCATCTCTCTCCCTCTCTCTCTCTCTCCCTCTCTCTCTTTTTTTTATACGTATTTGTCATTATGCGTTTTTGTGAGATTTTATTTATTTAAAAAAAAAAAAAAAAAAAAAAAAAACAAAGGAAACACAATGAGAAAGTTTAAAAATTTTTCAATTTTCTCATCATCATTATCATCATCATCATCATCATCATCATTATTATCATCATCATCATCGTAACATTAGATGTATGATGTATATTTTCCAGACGTTTGAAACCTGACAGTTGTAAAACGTGACGTGTGTAAAAAAAAAAACTTTTTAGTAAAACTAATTTAAAAACGGCAAACAAACAATTAACTTAATGTATATATAAAAAAAAAATATTGCGGAAAATTATTATTATTATTATTATTATTATTATTATTAAATTTACGAGAAAGGTTAAATAAAAAAATGAGCAAAACGAACAACAAACAACAACAGGAATAAAAAAACGAGAAACAACACAAACAGACAAATCGAATAATAAAAAGCAGAAGAAAAAAAAAGAAAAAAATTAAAATTAAACGTAACCGTTAAAAATTTATCAATCGATAATTTACAATCGATTGAAATGAATCGATTGATCGATCGATCGATTTTTATATCGAAATTAACGATTAGTAAAACAAAATGGCTGACTGTGACCTCCCCTCGAACTTTTTGGAAGATTTTCTTTACAACTTTTAATCATAATAATTATAATAGTTTCCGCCCCCCGTAGAAAATATGATAATTTTCCGTTGTTAAAATGAGATATCGATACGATTAATCGATCAATCGATATGTAAAAAAATTAATCGAACGATTTAGGTCGGATCGCGTTTGTTTGTCGGATAAATTTTTCGGTAACATTTAAACCGTTAACGTCATTTTTATAATTGAATTTTTGTTTTGTATTTTTCTTTTACCCTTTCTCCCTCTTTCTCTCTCTCTTTCTTTCAACCCCTCACTCTCTCTCTCTCTCTTTTGCTGTTTTAAATTTTGTGTACTAGGTAAAATTCTTCACTAATAATAATAATAATAATAATAATAATAATAATAATAATGCTACTGCTACTATAGAATTGAAGATTTTTTTTTTTTGGAATGAGAAAAAATGTAATCTGAACAGATGCATTTCCGGTTTTAAAAAAAATTTAAATCTTCCTTTTTGTATAAAAAAAAAAAAAAGAAAAAAGAAAAGAAAAGAAAAGAATGGAATAAAATAGAAAAGAAAAGAAAAGAAAAGGAAAGGAAAAAAAAAATATACAATTTTTTCATTGTTGAATAAAATCCCGCGAATAAAACTACATTAAAATTTTCCTGTGTGGTGGCTTTTTTTTCTCTCACTTTCCCCCCCCTCTTTTCCCTCTCCCCTCCTTTTCCTGTTTAGAGCAGCAGAAGAAAAAGTTTTTAAATAAATTTAATAATAATAATAATAATAATAATAATTTTTATTTTTATTTACAGATACAAATATTCGGATTCAATTCGCAATTGTATTCAAATTTTTCCGAAGCACTTTTCAGAGCTCAAGGAATAGTAGCCATATCACTTTTATTACAGGTACGATAATTTATTTGATCGTGTCAGCAGATTAAAAAAAAAAAATATTTTTGACGTGGCAGAAAGTGAGAGGAGAAAGGAAAGGAGAAAAAAAAAATTATCAAAACGTATAAACTAAATCAATCGAAGGATTTCGAAAGAGAAAAA